CGCAGCAGGAAGAGGCAAATGTCATTCAAAAGGAAAAGCCTTTTTTACATATTGTATATATAGTCCTCACAAAAAACTAAGCCCCAGTTTGTTTCTCATTTTTCATCCATAAAAATGAAAAATATCACCGTTATTCATCATATCAAGCCATCAATTTTGAATTTATATATCTTATATGGAGCTCAATAACGGCTATATTTTTCATTCTCATTCTACAATAATGAGAATCAAACAGGCCCTAAAGCTCCTTTATTAAGATTATAATCTAAAGTCAAGGAAACTCTATCATGATCTTAGGAATCTTGGCAAAGTTCAGGACTATAATAGGAAAATATGAATAGAAACTTTCCACGAGTTTTCCCCTAGTATTAAAGGGCATTGCAATAACGAAAATTGGAAACTGTTATGCATTTTTTGTCTTATTGATTGTCCATTGTAAAAGACCAATCTGCTGTCACCAATATCAAATATTCAAATTGTACCCATATTTACTCTTCCAACTTAAATCGTTCCCCATACAAACACAACGAATATCATTATAAATCTTTTGTATGGGAAAAAGAATGATAAACAACAACTTACATGCCGGCATTCTTAGCTGCAAGGACACCAGATGGTGCATCTTCAAAAACAAGAATCGAGTGTGGATCGACTGGTCCTCCCTGAATACAAACAAATTGATCGCAACCAAACAACTTTTATAAATCTAAATACTAAATAGATATAATGACAATGGTCTCTTGTCTATCGGTGACCAAATAGGTTGAGATCGTGAGACTCTGTCTCAGGTTTAAGTCTTTGTATCATTGTTTAATTTGTTATGAGCCCCACGTACATGTGGATTCTACTATTACTAGTTACTCTTGATATTGCCTTGTACTTTGTAAGTGTTGGACTAAATTGCTACCTAGAGCGTACCTCAAATCTTTTGGCTGCTGCAAGAAAAATATCTGGTGATGGCTTCCCTTGTTTAACTTCAGGATCATCACCGAGAACAATATGATGCATCAGTGAGAAAAGCTCACCATGTCTTTGGGTCTTCAATTCAAAATGCCTTCTATGAGAACTTTCGGATGCATTGAAATATGTTTGCTCGTTAGACAATTTAATTTGCGAAATCTCAAAAATCTCGTATAATTAAATAGAAAACAATCATCATACCCAGTTGCAACACAAATTGGTATTCCATTTTGATGGAGGTGACGAATCAAACGATCAGCCCCTGTAATAAGAAGGTAATGTTTTAAAAGATAGAAAGAAAAGACAAAGCAGTGACACATAAAACAAAATGAAATCATTAGTTCACTACTTACAATGGCAATGATAAAAAGTCCTCATAAAGAAAGGACCTTCCATTTCAAGATTAAAAAATTGGATAAAAGGAACAGATTGTCAATGTTCCATTTCTTCCTGAACAACTTGACAAAAACAAAAGCTTCACAAAGTCCTCACATATGTAGATCCACTAGAGTTAAAAAAAAAAAAAAAGGAAGGACCGTTCATATGGAAATCCCTAAATTTATGAAAAAAATACACAATTCAATTCCTTTACGTTCTTCACTGAAAATTCAAGGCAAACTTCAATTCATCTATAGCTAGTATTCATGTGTTAGCAACTACGGCATCTTGATTCAGAGAAGTGGAGATCATACAACAAAAACTTTTTTTTTGATCAGTAAGAGATCATACAACAAAAACTCAGAAATAAGAAAATTCGGGGATTTCATCTTCTGTTTCCTCTTTTGTTGAATGCAACTGAAAAAATATGTTAATCTCTATATTCTAGTTCCATCACATCAATCATAAGAATATCCTACATATCCAAAATAGAAAGCTCCTACATTTGTTTCCCTTAAAGAACTAAGTTACAGCTAATTCAACAACTATAAACTTGATATTCAAAGCTCTGTAATAATTCAAATGCAAGTGCACTAACATACAGTACCACTATTGATATCAAAACAATAAATGAAAGCCATGCTTCTTTCTGAAAACCACTCTGAGCTGCATATGAAACTGCTGACAAAAGATAGTATTCTTGCCAAAAGGTGATTGACACATTTGCATTGACAAATTTGTTACATGCACTCCTATGCAGTTTCCATATGCAAAAAGTATGATGCAAGAGAAAGAAGAGAGAAGAAATGGAGAAATGAAAATAATTAAGAATATAATACAACATGCATTAATACACCAAACCTGGCATGAGTTCACTTGTTGGGAACATATTGCGCAACATTTCCTCTCTTTCTACAAGAAAATCTTCTGCCGAAAGTGAATCAACAATTCCAGTTTCTTCCACAAAAACATGAGCAGCTTCTATTGCCTTCTTCCCCATCATTTTAGCCTTAAGAGACCAATCAAAAGTCTTATTGTACCTGGAAAGTATAATCTCCTGGACTTCAGTGTAGAACTTCTCTGTGTCTGAAGAAAATTAAGAGCAATGTAACGCTTTGGTTTCTCTGCTAACTGATTAGCCACATAGCTTTCAACTATGCAACTATTAAAGCAAAACATTATAAAGATGCTCATTTTCCAAAACAACAAGAAGGATGGAGACTGAAATAGAAAAGAAGGTAGTAGAATGAAACAAACATCCATCTGATAAGGTAAAGCCCCAAAGATCTTCCATTTAAAGAAAACTGAAAATAGGGATACTAATGAAAATCTTATCAAAATGGGACAAGTAGTTATGACTTGTGAAGGAGGAGGATCTATTAAGAACACCCAGATCAATCATCAAAAGCTGGAATTCTACATATTAATCTGCAAGCGCATAACTACTGTACCACCTCTTACTCTCTATAAACATGCTACACTAACCAAAATGATAAAAAAAAATTTGAAAAAATTTGAAGAAAATAATCTCTACAAAGTCAAACATAAATAATAAACAGTAAAAAACACTTACGTTTTCCCTCAAATAAACAGCAAATGCATGATTTACACAATTTTATGGCATGGGTGAAACAATCATGTTATGTTGGAATATGGATGCAATAATTTCATTTCTAGAGGCTATAGTATTCCAGAGAAAGTGAAAGTACTTGATACATGGTTTGGAGAAAGGTATATGACAAAAGTAAATATGTATCAAAGTTCAAACCGGTAAACAGCAGAGATTCTCTTTATTTAGCAGGGAACTATGGCTCGCCAATGTGATCTGTAAGACTGTAAAGGAGCATATTGCTTCCTCATCCACATTATATTAGAATGTAAACCACAAAAACTTCTGTATCTTCATTGGGCGAAATGGTACACGTCAAATCAAACCCAAACATTTTCCTCTTCATCTTTTATTATTGTAGCTAAGGTTAGATATCACAGTTGTCTAATTGTAAAAGCACTCGAAGGCAAACAAAGTGCTTTCAGATATAAGTTAGAACCAATTCTACTTTCCCAAATGAACACATTTCACATTTTAATTTTTTTCCTTTCCAGCTAATAATTTCTGGAAACCTGCATATGCACCAACCCACTTATAATATACTGTGTCTAGTTTTCCATCATTTTGTTCATCAAAACATTCTTTTAAATCGTTTGATGCGAAAATATTCTAAGTGTGTATTACTCTTGATTAGACCAGGAATACGATTAGTAATCAAGTCCATATTGTTTTCGGTTCAGAATAGGGTTTGTTAGGGCACCCGTACGCATTTTGAAAACTTCTAATGAGCAAAAAACTCCTAAACAGAAGATTCTGAATCCAATTAATTTTGATCAAGTCAAGCTATATTTGTTCACAAAAAAAGGGAAAAGGGAGCAACAAATAGAAGATATTTTCTTCCGTTTTCAAATATAAAATTCAAACCTTCAGTTCTCTAAATATTTTGAAGAAACATACGAATTTCATGATTGTCTTGGGATTTAGCATTCCTTTGTTACCATAATTCAACCGCACAGAATTTCTACTCGATAAAGCTCACAATACTAGGGCTAAAATGTTAATCTGCCAACGACAATCAACTCATCAATCAAGTATCAAGTGTAAAACCCTCGTAATATCGCAGTTAAATGTTCAACAGTAAATAGTAATAATCAACTCAATCCATTGTCGCCCAAATTATTGCACACTGACTAAAATGAATAGGTAAATGTGTTTACCGAGTAAAAGGCCATCCATGTCGAAAATGACGTGAGTAATTGATGCCTTTCCATTTGGACTCGCCATTTATGAGAAATTGAGCAGATATCACTGCTTCCACTGAGAAAGAGGGATGGCAGATGCGTGTGGTCGGATGATTCGAATAACTAAAGGGTACCGCTATTTCCATCCACACTTTTTATATATACATCCACTTTTAAAAATTAAGTTTTATTATATTTTAAGTCCTATGTAAATTTACTTAAATAGACATAAACAAAATTAAATAAAAATACATAACTCTAAATTGATCCACTAGTTTTTTTTTTGCATCAGAGTAACCTAAATCTTTTTATATTCTATTAGAGATTATGTTTAACTAGAGTCCTAATAGATCAAAGAAATTTACATGAATATAATTATAGGCGATGGTGGCAAAGCAAGTTTGATCGATGAAACTGCGGAAGAAAGGCCCAAAAGATGAAAAGAACACTTACGGGATGGAAAAACAACGGGGAAGATGAAAAGGGCCAAAAGGATTCTGTAGGTTTTAGAAATAAAGAGAAAGTTTTGGTCTGAATTTGTGCATAAACTAACAAATTTTATTGCCAAATTAATGTTAACNAATTAGTTCAAATACCAACTTTTTAGAAAGAAAAAAATAAATTCTAAATATTCTCCCTTTTTAATCTTATTAATATCTACCCTACTTACTAAAACACTTAGGCGCTGTTTGATAAGCCATATTTTTCAAGGAACTAGGAAAATAAATTCCATTTTCCCACTTTTTGTCCTGTTTGATGTGTCAAATTTTACCTGGAAAACTTTTTCCCCTTTTCCACTCACGTGACCAATTTTCCCCCAAATCGTTGAAAATTATTTCCCGTCTCAGACTTGGTAAAACGTTTTCCACCAAATGGAGGAAAATCCAACCCCAGAAAATGGAAGCCGAAGTTTCCCCAAACCTCTCCCGACACCGAAAATCGAAGCCCAAGTTTCCCCAAACCTTCTCCCGACACCGAAAATCGAAGCGGACGCCGTTCTGCCGTTTGCTGCCGTTTTCCAGTTGAACCCAGCCGACAACCATTGTCTCGTCTGTCACGGCGAACCCTGCATCGCTTCCTCCGCCGTAGAAATGGGTAGGTTTCGTAGCAAACAGTAATTTGTTTGGGTTTAATTTTTGGTGTCTGTTCTGCAATTTCATCACGGCTGCTTCAGACAGTTTGCTACTTCACTTCTCGTTTAAGTTTCGTAGCATACTGTAATTTGTTTGGGTTTAATTTTTGGTTTCTGTTCTGCAATTTCATCACGGCTGCTTCAAACAGTTTGCTACTTCACTTCTCGTTTACGGATTTAACCCCTTCTCTGTGTTACATCTGCAATCTCGATGCCCATTTGCTGGAACTGTACATTTCGAACTGTGGATTGTCGCCAATGGTGTTTCGATTTACTTGTAATTTTTGGATTTTCTTAACATAAATGGGTACTTGCTCACTGGTGTGTTGTTTAATGGCGAAATGTCAAATGTCTGCTGTCTCTGTTGCATATATTTCGATTGACATACATTTCGGTTTTCCTGAGGTTTCTGGGTAGATTGGAGTTCGAGATGTAGATACACTGCTATATTATTTTGAAGTTTCAGGGATTAATTGAAGTTTGTATAGTGTATTTGTCAAATGAGGAGGTGATACAATGCTTTTTCATGTGTCTTTAAGGTTTATTGAAGTTTATATGGTGCATTTTGTCAATTTCAGAGTCTGCTTGTCAGTTTCTTGGCTAAGTGTGAGAGTTTTATTCCTGAGAGATTTTCTACTTTGCTTTTCCAGGGCCTTAATGTGCCTTTAGTAGTGCTTGGCAGTGAGCAAAAGACTTGGGTGAATGTGGGTGAATGTGATTACTAGTATTACATTGACATTTCATATTGCTAGCTTCACTTGGTCTTTTGGATGTGGCATTAGTTAGTTCCTTTCTACCTTGGTCAAGTAGATGTACATATTGTGATGATAATACGATTTCATTGTCATTTAATTGCATTATTTAATCCAATGGAGGTAAGATGATTTGAGTTCTGGGTAGATTGTATATATCATATATATTGAATCCAAAACCGAGTAAAAGAGTAAGAAAACTTCCTGATGATGGTCATAGAGGCATCACTTCCTGTGCTGCCTGTTGTAGTGAATCTGATCTATTAAGGTGCACCTTCACTTGGGTTAGGTTTATCCCTTTGCATCAGCTGGGGATAAAGAGATTGAGGAAATAATTGAAAAAATTGTTAGCGGGTTGTTTTGTGTGCTTGCTATACAGCATGAATTTAGGTATAAGCCACTGGTTCATGACGTGCTTGGGATGAGGTTGAATAGATTTATTTGGTAAATTTTGTGTTGATTTAAATTGTTCGTGTGTGCTTACTCTGAATATTAAATTTGCACAATGCATGCACGAGTTGAAGTTAAAGCTGGAGAATCACTCAAGGTTCAACCTGAGCTCGGCAAAGTGATTCATATTTCACAGGTTGGAGTTTTTTCTAGTACTTCTATCAAACCTCTGATATATTTCTTACTTCATTTTTATTATGAGGTCTTAAATGTTGACTTATTTTGAAACTATCTCAGGCAGCACTAGGGGAGGTGAAAGATGTGAAAGGAGCCAAACGTATTCCCATTCGTATGAAGATTGATACAAACAAGTATGTTATAGGAACTCTTTCAGCAGAGGATAGACCTCAGGTGATGTTTGACTTGGTATTTGAGAGAGAGTTTGAGCTCTCACATGACTGGAAAAATGGGAGTGTCTACTGTATTGGCTACATCGCTGATGATCAAATTCAAGGTAGATACCTTTTACTTCTGTGAATTCTCATCATTATTTTTTATGGTTTGTTCTGTGTGTGTGATTATGTGAGTTAGCTCTAGGAGAATTGTTTGTTTTGTGTTTAATCCTTTTATTCGTAATTTCATGTTTGGATGCTTTCTCAAGTTTGCTGTGTATTTTGAGGGCTTTGCATGTTGTCTTTTGCATTTTGCATAATCGTTTAAGTTTGATAGTTACAAGGTGTGAAGCATTTGCTTTTTTGATGAGGAGCCTGCAGGAAGTATGCTATATCTGTCCTCTATCTATTTATTGATTGGAGTTGCTTGTTGAATCTTTTCATTTGCTTCTTGTCTTACATCATATTACAGAAGTGGTTGTTGAAATTGAGATGCAGTTAAACAAGAAAGATGTTGAGGAGGTAAATAGGCGAACTGGAGGAAATGCTGGGGCTGATAAGCACACTAATATTGCTACTGCATTGTTGGGTGAGATTAAGGAAAGGTCTATGGATTCTTACGCCAAAATGGAAAGTGAAATGATGATCAGAGGTGGAATTGATAAGAATGAGCTTCTTAGCATGCTCAGGGGGAAAGGAGATAAAATGGATAAATTGAGGTTCGCTATAATGCATCTCATATCAACTGAAAGCCTCTATCCTTCAGAAGTTGAAATGGTTGAAGTTGCACCGAGGGAGTCCGATGTTGATGCTAGTGCATTTCAGTATGTGAAGAAGATAAAGTCATTAAATATCGCAGATTGCACGTGTTACAGTGTGTATGAAGTATGTATTTGTAAAACTTAATCTACGTACGTGGTTTTTTAGATTTTTTGTAACGCACACACGTAGAAACTAGGGTGCAGTGTTTTGTACATATTGGATGGATAGTTTTTGGTAGTCTCACGGGAGCTGAATGTATTTTTTGAGAAATGGTTCTTTTTGTGGATGAATTTTGTAGCCCAGATGATTTATGTGTAATGGGAATATATCATGCAATGTGGGTTGTCGTTTCTTTTGTATTCTACATGAAGGTTCCAATATTGAAAAACACCCACCAAGTCCTAGTTGGAAAAGATGGTTTAGGGTGAAACATTATTTTTCTTATATGAAGAAAACCTACTATTGAAAAAAATGCACATCCACCTTTGTGTCTTAATTGAAGAATCTTACTCGAGTGAAACATTATTTTTCTTTACGCTATTCAATTTTAAACCATTTTTTCACATTATCTTTTGTTTATGGTTTGTTGACATTGTAAATGGCCATCAAACACCAATTGTGGGAGAAAAAACAAAAAAAAATTCCATGGAAAAGAAAGCCTGTCAAACAGCAGAAGATGGAAAAAAGCCTAATTTTCCATGGAAAATAAAGCCGATCAAACACCAAAAGATGGAAAATCTCAACATTTTCTAGGTGGAAAATTATACCAATCAAACGCATCTAATTGACAATTCCCGGGAAAAAAATTTCTAGGCAAATATTTTCCCTAGAATTCATTTTCTTTCCACCCATTTTCCACCCTTACAATCAAACGCACCCTTAATGAAAAATAGTAAAATACCCAAACGCATCTAATTGACAATTCCCGGGAAAAAAATTTCTAGGCAAATATTTTCCCTAGAATTCATTTTCTTTCCACCCATTTTCCACCCTTACAATCAAACGCACCCTAAATGTTTGGACAGGCGCTGAACTTTGAGCTTATTAACACAAAATGTCCTCAATTTTAATTTTTTTGCATTTTCATCTCTATTTTCAAGTTTCAATGTTAAAAAAAAAAATCATTATCATCGATCTTTATCCAATTTCTTAATAAAATATGTGAAATGACAAATATACCCTCCTATTTAAATAAAAAAAATAAAGATCTAATTGCAATTATACTCCGAAACCTTTTTAAAAAGTACAAATGATGCTCAAATAATTATTAAAAAATTCAAACTAAAATAAAAAAATATAATCTCTCTCTCTCTTCCACCACCACCACCACCACCACCAAACAATTTCCAACAATATACTCCAACAATTTCCTTATTAGTTACCCAAACATTGGCGACTCAATGGAACCTATTTTGATTTTGATATATAGATACATATTCCATTCTCTCTGCTTACCTCTCATATTGAGGTGAGGTTTCGTCTCTTCACATATTTGTACATACTGAAATTTGAATATATAGCCTGGTTTTCGTTTTCTTTGTTATGACGATGTTATCACGAAGGAAAGAAATGGATCAGATCAAGGGCCTGTGGATCCTGAAAGATGATGAGTTGTTGCAGAGGTTGGTGGATAAGCATGGACCTAGAAATCGATCTTTAATTAGCAATGTTTCTTAGGTCGTCTTTTCCTTCGTACTTCGGAATTTCGGGGGGTACGAAATTAGGAGGCATGGGGAAACTACGAAGTTCCTTCGAGAAGAGTTGATTGTCATCATCATTATTAAGCTCATAGGACTAACATGGTCCATCAGAATCATTCGATTTTTCAGAATCATTCTGATTTGCTAATTAACGAGGCGCGGGCTGAGATGACCCTCATCGATTTTCCCAGTCCAGCAGGTTCGTCTCTCTTGCCTATTCCAAGGTGGAGGAGCATATACTCTTTCGCTTTACACTTTCTCCTATGGCCAAGCTGTTTGATGGGTGGATTGGTTTTTATTTTAGGCCTTTGTCCAATTCGATTGAACATACTCACGGACCTTTGAGGTTGCTTTTCATAGTCGGGGAGAAGTTGTACCCTCCAATCTGAGTGTCATTAACAGGGCGGCCGGAGGTGTAGTTGGTGGAAAAATCTACCCCCATTTCCCTTTCAACCGGGGCCTCTCTTCTCTGCCTACTTGAATGGGTCATCTGGCTCTGCCCTACTTCTTCCTGGTACTAGTCGTAGGCTGGTTGTGGGGTACTCTGAGGCACTTGAAAGCCTCTTTGATTTTGGACTTGCATGAAGAGTTCATGCATAGCCGCATTTTGGGTTGCAATACTTCTCATGTTGGTAGTCATCTGAGCCACCTTAGCCAATTAGTCGCGCAACAGTTTTTCCACCCCTCCGATGAAGGTGGTAAGGCCTTTGGTACATTACGTTGGTTTGGAGGATCTCTTCTTTAGGGACCTCCCTTACTCTCCTCAAATTTACGTCTTCATTGCTTGAACTCGTTGTTATTGACTTGCAAGCTCTTTTCTTCCAAGAGGTGAAGGGGTCTTATAAGCAGATTTCTATTTTGATAAACTCTTTTTTTAAAAGGAATATCAACAATCCAAATATCAATGAAATTTTAAATCTCTTCCTTAGGGTTGCCGCTTATTTTTTCCTCAAGAACAAATCAATTTTCAAGGGAAAGGGCGAGGGGGACAACTGAATATTTCAGTAAGCTTTTTCCACTGGGATATTCATGGTTATAGTAACATTTTCCACAGACAGTGTCAATCTATTGACTCGAGAAAGTGACATTGACACGTGGCCGCATGATGTAACTCTATGCAAGTTTTTTTTTTTTTGCGCATTGTAACACACCGTTAGTCACTCATGACGTTTTTCGGTGAGAGTGAAAGTGGTCGCGAGCACTTCGACAATCAATTCAGTGAGATGGTAGACCAGAGTTGAGATGTCCGGTGGTGGTGATCACCAAAATGTGATTATCAATGTAAATGTGTAGAGTCAAGGATATTGTAAAAAGCTAGTGTTTATATTTTCTAAAAAGTAAAAGAAGGACCCCCTTCTAATGGTGCAAGTGTGGGTATTATAGTAAAATGAGGTGAAAGGGAAACCATTGGATGTGAGGCATGTGGCTTCAGATCCTGGATGGGTCAATCTGTCAATCCATAAGTGGGCAAACATTTAATGCTTCACGACACAGTAATGATTGACTTAACATTTTGGCGTCTACTATACAGGCGTCCCATCAATCAGCTTAAAGATTTGATTTTGAGATCTTTACATAAAAAATCTCCTAGTACCTAGTGACGAAATGGAGTGGTTTGTAGTAGGAATTGTAGTCGCACTCTGGGTACCTTATCACTTCATCACTTAGGAATTGTGTAATGATCGTCAGTTAGCTCTCATGGTCAGTTTGATTAAGGTGTGACGAAACGATGCGGAGTGTGCGTCTTAGCATTTGCCACATGGCGGATGAACCGAGGCTTTGGACCCCATCATCCAACACGTGGTGGATGATTTGGGAGCTTGTAACAACTATAATCAAAGGAAAAAAAATCCTAAATCTCTGATTGTAAACCCAAACGTAAATTTTATCGTGTGCTTCAATCATCAATTTTGAGTACTTCAATCTTTTCAGGCATCTTTATTCTCCCAATGCATTCAAGTTAGGTATCTAATGGCTATTTATAGTGCATTTTGTCCTTTTCATCCAAGATAATCCCACTACCTGAAATCGGATTTCAATTAATAATTAGGATGCGTTTAATAGTGAGTATGGAATTTGAATAGAATTTTTTTTTTTTGGACAATTCAATATCTAGAACTTATTTTCATATAAATTATTAATTCAATATGTTTGATTGATTTAACTTTCAATTTAAAAAAATATTATACTTGTTCAATTTTTATTGGTGGCTAAATGAGAGAGATGGGGATAGATGAGTGAGAGAAATAGAGCGTGAATTATTTGGAAAATAAAAATCACGCATCCTTAAAAAAATATTTTCCTTGTTTTTGAAGAAAATATGGTCATATGACCAAAAGTTAGAAAATATTTTTCATGGAAAAAATTGCCAATCAAACACTAAAAAAGTAGGAATTTGAATAAAAAAATGACAATTTTTATGAAAAATAAAGTCAATTAAACACAATCTTAGTGAATTTGATGTTACTAGATTAATATTGCAAGTTACAAACGTGCCATTTGTTATAAATAAATATCTCTACATCTTAAGTCGTTTAAACCATCTCCAACCATGCACCAAAATTTGAAGTAAATTTTGCATCATTTTATATCAAATCTTGTATCAAACTGAAAATCATCTCCAACCCGTTTTCTTCATTTTTTTCATTCTTAATGATTTATCTATCTAAAAAATTATTTATTTATTTAATTTACTACTACATAAATTACAAAATAAACAAAATGAAAATATTGAATACATTAATAAATTTTAAAAATGTAGTACAATTAATAATAATAATAATAATAATAATAATAATANGCAAGTGCCCCCCACCCAACTTTTGAGAACTTTTTTTTTTATAAAACCGTGTTTTGTATCGATTGAAATCTAAATTTTAATCTAAATCAAAGTTAACAATTAATTTTAATAACATATTTCATGAAATCCATAACTGTTTAACTTTTATCAAAATTTACTAAAAATTTGATTTTAATTGCCACCAAATAGGGGCAAAATTACAATAAATTTGAATTTCGATAACATGCTAATTGTAAAAACTCTCTGAAGATTGTAAGTTAATCGAATCTGCGAATTCATCTCAAAACTTATTTTGAGAACTATATTATGGGCATATAAAATAGTCCAAATAGATATCGAAATAGTTAAAAATACGTTAAACGAGGTCTTAAAAAAGACGTCTAACTCGTATTTTTTTAAAAATTAAATTATTTCATTAACATTTATTATTTTTAGTATACAAATTTCTCAATGTAATTTTTATTATTTTATTAGGAAATTTATATAGAATATGACATCAAAATTTTTCGATATTTTACTTCCGAAAAAGTTATATCTCATGTAAATTTTTGGATGTAAAATTACATGGGGTATGATTTTTTTTGGACGTAAATTTATTCTTGTAAAATTTCTCCAAACTTCTTTACAAGTTCGATTGTGCCCCATAACTTTTATGGTCTGCGTCCGCCCCTGGTTGCAGATGTCCTTAGATCTCGAACATATTTATATGATAATAGAATCCAATATTTATTGTTTGCTAGTTATTAGTTCTATAAGTGCATGATTGGTACATATGTGATTAGAGATGTCAGACAAGCCGAATGGCTCAGTTGCTCGGCTCATACTTGACAAGCCCAAGCCGAGTGGGCTCGTTCACAGGCGAGTGGCTCGTGTGGTGAGCCCACAAGCTCGAAGTGGCGAGCCACAAGCCTGAAGTAACCATTTTGGTCAATGTACAAGTTCACTTGTCGTTTTGGCCATTTTTTCCTTCTTTTTTTTTTTACTCTATAAATACCCAAACTTATTTCTAATTTTTTCACACACCAACGAGAATTCTTACCCTCTTTTACATTTTACAATCTACTACATTCTACCTTCAATTTCAATTATTCAATATCAATTATCACACTATAAATTACAATTTTATACTTTCTTTCCGTAATCTTTATTTACTTACTTACTATATAGTCTACATTATACAAATTATAATAAATATTCTATACATTTCATCACAATTCACAAATGGATTTACAATCATTTGTTGAGGGCTTGTTAGATATCGGAGGATAATTACGTATGACGTCGCAAATTCATTGAGGAATTGACTTTGCGACGTCAAAGTACTCATTCCCGAAAATATTCCAGATTGGATGCTCATGGAAGTAATAATCTAATTGATTTGGATAACGTTGATGTTCCCAAAATAGAATAGGAGGAATTAGATGTTCCCAATGCAAGAGAAAAGCGATAGGGCAAAATTCAAGCAAAATGTTGGGATCAATTTAAATTGATTTCAACAGATCGTGTGGTTGATGGAGTCGCAAAATCCAGAACAGTATGTAAATACTGTCAAACATGATTAACACAGTAAAAGGGCATTGATACCACCCATCTCAACCGTCACTACAAAGCATGTGCGACCAAATATGGGTTTGTTGGTGTATCTCAAACGCATTTTGCAATTTGGTAATCCAACCTCTGATTCTACTTCTACAACACTTTACACGTTGATGTATTCGGAGGAGAAAACTCGAACGGTAATGGTAAAGTTCGTGTCAGTGCTGAGTTGCCACTAAGAATAGCGGACAACCAACATTTTGTCCGCTACATGAAAGAATATCTTCAACCGATGTTTGTTGGGGTAAGTAGAAGCACTCTTCGTTCGATATAATATAATATAATATTTTCTTAATACAAAGAAACAATTGATTACTGATTTGCAAAAATATGAGAGTGTTAGGGGCTGTTCTCTTTGCCATTTTCAACCCGTTTTCTATTTTCGATTTTTCAAAGCAGTGAAAACGCGTTCTCTATCCTATTTTTGAAAACGCGTTTCTGAAATTTACAAAGAAAACACAAAACAACAAAATTGTCGTTTTGGGTGTTTTCAGTTATAATTTGACAAAAATTTCCAAAACACGTTTTCGTTGTTTTCATCCACAGCCAACCATCACCGCACCTGACCACCACTGCATCAC